TCGAGCTTTACATGACCCATAGGGTAAAAAGAGTTCGGGTCGGGTCTAATGAAAGGCCAAGCAACCTTATAGCGGGTTGGACTCGCGTGTTAGCCGTATCTTCATCGGGCTTATGTGGCATTCAAACAGAATGCACGCCGGCTCAAAGCGAGATATCCCACCACGCCCTCCGAAACGGCTTTGGAAAGGAAGTAGGTAGAAGAAGAAAAAAGAAAGAAATTCCATCCAGTAGAATGTAGTTAAATTATGGAATATCGCGGTGTAGCTCGGCCAGATGACAGTCCAAGCGGGTCTTAAAGTCCGCCACAGTGGGTGCCAAGACTAAATCGGCAAGCAAAGCATTCCACGGTCGACAGATTTGCAAAGAGAAGTAGTGTCGTTTGCAGTTCAGCCGACTGTGCTGATGTGTGAGCCTCAGTGGGTGGCCACGTAGGTGGGAGCCCGATTGGTGCAGTGTAAGTAGGTGGCGACAGGGATGTCCAGGGTTGGATAAGATCATGAATACGAGGATCAGGTCGCCCCGTAGACGTCGGTACTTAAGCGAGTAGAGGCCCAGGCACTGAAGTCGTTGTGGATAACCTAGGTGCTTGAGACCTCGGACCAGTTTGGTTGCTCGACGTTGTGGGGCTTCGAGTATGCGTTGGTCCTTCAACAACCAAGGGCTCCAAGCCTGAATAGCAAACTCCAAGTGGGGTCAAAGAAAAGCGTTAAGGAGGAGGCGGAAATTGCTGGGGTCAATTTGACTGAAGGCTCGTTTCAGCAATCCCACCATGCGGTTAGCAGCAGCAGCTGCTTTCCGACAGGAAGCGGATACGGAAAGACTCGTCTGGGTAATGATACCCAAGTCTCTTTCGGCTGAAGAGATCTGGAGGATAGACGCTCCCAGGTAATATATAGGAAAAAAAGCGGAAGGGCGGGTAGAAAGGACGCGACATTTCGAAGCGTTAAATGGAAGGTTATTTTCTATGGACCATTGATGTAGACGGTCGAGGTCCGTCTGAAGTGCGTGGGCATCGTCCGGAAGGTTAATGGTGCGCCACAGCTTGGCGTCATCCGCGTATAGTAGCAGCGAAGACTCCACTTGCGGTGTGACGTCGTCAATGAAGGCTAGGAAGAGGTGCGGTCCGAGAACAGACCCCTGTGGAACTCCGCTTGTGGCAAGGATGCGGGGAGACAACGCTCCGTCGACGCGTACTTGGAAGGTACGGTTTTGGAGGTAGTTCCGGATCCAGTCCATCAAGTCCTCTGAAACGCCGTAAGATGACAGTTTCTGCAGCAGAATCTCGTGATCGACCTTGTCGAAGGCTTTGGCGAAATCCAGGAAGATAACATGCGTTTCTTGGCCAGAGTCGGCTGCAGTCGTCCAGCTGTCCCTGGCAAGTAGCAGGTTACTCAGGCAAGACCGTTGACGCCGGAAACCGTGCTGGCAATCAGAGAGCAGTTTCTGGGCCTCCATGTGGTCCATTAAAGCGTCTGCGACGATCGATTCCATCATTTTGGAGATCGTAGATAGGAGAGTTATCGGTCGGTAATTGACCGGATCTTTGCGAGTACCGCCTTTGTAACTTGGCGTAATAGTCCCACATTTCCAATCATTGGGAAGTTTGCCTTGCAAGAAGAAGTGGGTGAACAGCTCCGCTAGGGGTGAAGCTAGAGCTGCAGCGCACGCTCGCAAGAGCCGTGGGTGGAAACCATCAGCGCCAAGAGAGGCCGTTAGCCGCAGGGATTTGAGTTTCGCCAGGACCTTCTCCGGAGTGAAATGAACAGACGTCAGGGAAGTTGAGAGTGAAACCGAAGTAGGTACCGTCGTTGTGTGCATTGATGGACCGGAGAATGCGGATGCGTACTGCTGGCACAGGACTTCTGCTGCCTCGTTAGCTGATTTCGTGAGCCCTGTGGGGGTCGTCAATGCGGTGACACCGTGCTTGACTTGTCGAAGACTATTGACGTGACTATTCAAGGCTTTGGGATTGGATGAAAATTTACGCATAAGTTGACGCTGGTGCTCACTCTTATCTTTTCGCACAAGATGGGCGCATTGGTTACGGATGGATCGGTAATATTCCCACTGAGTGGCCGTTGGATGGGAGCGATAGTTTTTCCATGCCGTGTTCCTGGAGGCAATCCATTTTCGTGTACGACTTCGGATGAGTGCTGGGCGTCTTTTCCCTATGGAAAATTCTTTGCACATCGTCGTAGTGGAGCAGAGTTCACGTAGGGTAAAGCAAAAGCTTGACCACATGCTGTCGGCACTCGATTGGGGCTCGGGTGACCAGTTGTTAGCGGAAATGAGAAGGTTCAATTTTCCGTAATCAGTCCAGCGTTTGGTATAAGTTGGCGTGCTGACGAGTTTTTCGGCGAAGCATATAAAATCGAAACGGAGGACGCAGTGGTCGCTAAGCCCCAAAGGGGCATCATACTCAACGTGCTCAACCATCAGTTCTTCGTTAGTGAGGACGAGATCTAGCAGGGATGGTTGGTTGTTGGATCGGAATCGGGTCGGCTGATACGTGTGGTTGTACAACGGGGCCGTGTGAAGAAGATCAATGAGGCCTGATGCAAAGGAGTTAGTAGACGGGACAGAGTGAAATAGACGGGGCAGGTTGAAATCACCCATGATAAGAAAGTGTGTGCGCTTGTGGGATAACATAAGGTGGACGTCGTGCATCCTTCTCGGGAGAGTTGTTTGGGGGCGGTAAATGATACCAAGACAGCTGGAATGTTTGGCGGTTAGTACGACCTCGCACCACATGGTGTCTGGAGACTGGAGGACAGTGTTTGTTAACATGCTGCAGCTGAGGGAAATGTCATAGTACAGTGCGACACCGCCACCTGGGGTTGCGCGGTCAGAGCGGAGAACTGACATGTGAGGAAGTTGGATTTCACCGTCGGTTATGTCGCCGGAGAGCCACGTTTCCGTTATGGCTATTAAGTCCGCTGGTGTTGATAGAAGTCGGGATTGGAGCTCCGGAAGTTTGGACATGAGGCCCTGTGCGTTCGTGTAGATACAGGTGAGGCCCGTTTGGGTGATGAGCGCGGGAGTAACTAGGGTGCTGCCGGTCAGCAGATGACCGGCAGTGCGCCGTTTTTTTGGTTTAGAGGAGTGGAGCCGCTAAGGTTTGTAGTTGGGGAAACAAAGTGTGGGTCGTCGGAGCACAGATGGGTGCTGGCGGCTGAGTCGTTGAAAGTCTGAAGGTTGGAATGTGTAGGTGAGTAAATTACTCCAGGCAGTGAGGCAGGTGGTTCGGTGGTGGACCGTCTGAGGACGATCTGGTCAGAGTGTGTCGGTACCGAGTTTGCTGCTGCTGCTACCAGGGGTCTGTGGGAAGCTGTGCGCCTCGGCACCGGGTGCCCATCTGGACGCAGACGGATATCTGGTGGTGCTCGTCTTTTATTAGCACACCAGATGGTGAGTGCATCGGTTGCCATGCTAGCGCTGAGGAATGTCACTTTCAGAAGAAGGGGGGCTGTTCCTGTATAACTTGCTGGACGAGGTAGGCGGTGAACGTCCGTTGTGATTACGTTGACAATATTTAGTGTCTGCTGAAGGAACCGCCATTGATTACAGTCATGCTGTTGTCGCTGTTGTAAGGTTGCGTCAAGGGCATGCAGTTCTGGGACGCCATGCACGATGATGGAGCATGGTTGAATGGGTGGCGTCAGTTGCTGTCTGCGCGCAGCGCGCTTAGTCCAAGGGATGTCGGGGAAGATACGAATTTGGTAAATGCCGAGAGACGCATTGTTTCGGAGTAGGTGTGCTGACAACAGGACATCCTCCATAGCAGGGCCTGGCTGCAAGTCGACACGCAGAAGTCTTGGCTTACCGGCGCTCGGAGATGAAGTGTGGCGAGTCAGTCTTGTGAGACTAATGGGTTTTGTTTCCGGGAGGTTTAACGCGGTACAGATTGAGCTCCACATAGTGGTCATGAGAATGTCGATTCTGAAGTTGCGAGTCGTTGGACTCGGGCACATTTGTACATATGACAGAATTTGGAGCAGGGCTACTCGTTATTCGCTTAGACGAACGCGGATGTGGAGCGGTAGCAAGCTTGGTGGGAGGGCCTCCGTCGGAAGCGTTGGTCGTCGGCAAGTGTTGGGAAGACCAGCAGTTGGTAACGGTGAGACGGTACGTGATTCAGGACGGTTGGGAGGTTGTTGTCGTCGTTTGGTTAGACCGTCGACTTTCCGCAATAGATTCTGTAGCTGTTCTTCTAGATTAAGCAAGCGCACTTCTGAGCGAGCATCGTTGCTAGGCGGCTCAACGAATCGCGGTGACCGGGGCGACTGCGTCTGCGACTGCTTGTTACGCGGTGTGGAGGGCGGGTTAGTGGGAGACGAGGTTACAGAACCAAGCATAGGGCAAGTCGTGGAGGAAATGTCGCAAGAAATATCCCGCACGTAGTTCGCAATTCTGGGTATACAAACGGGGCAAATGTACCGCAGGACCGTCTGTGGATGCGAGCGACAGAATTCGATGTCAGCTGCATGGAGCGAATTGTCACAGGGAGCGTGAACACGGTGAAGACAGATCGAGCAGGTGATGGCTTTGGAACGAGGTACTACACGCTGAGTGCAGATAGAGCAGGTGTTCAGTGGCCGCATTGGCGTAGTGGGCGAGACCGAAATGATCGGCATGGTCAAACAGATGACGTACAGATGACACAAATATCTGCAAATAAACGTAGTGGACTACCTGTCTCAAGAGAACAGAACGCGCAGGAGGTCGCCATCCGCCTTGGAAAACGTCGTTGATCCAACAGGAATACCGGTGCCTTGATGTGCCAAAGAAGAGCCAAATCAACACACGCGATTTCCATGGTCAAGCAGAAAATGCCCACGTGCCCTGCACTAGCAGCCTCCGCTGTGCCGGTCACGTGAAGAATAAAAGTGTATTTATACTAAAAACAACTGCAAGCTCATGATCCCTTATAGTCCAAATTGGTAGAGAATGAAAACAGTCACAAAGGCCTCAACAAAGTTAGCATTGACAAAGAGCGCACCTGCATGTGGGTAATGAGGATACGCCAAAATGCAAAAAGATAGGGAATGTAGAGACTGCGATTATCTCAGGGGAATAAGCGGATTTTTATCCGTCATTAAATAATAGGAAAGAAGATGAAACCTAACCGCAACGCGCTTATTGGTTTTAAGCGTGCATTATGCATGAAAAGGCACACTATTATGTATCTTATTCTTATTACGCCGTACAAATTAACTACAGATAGTTATATGCACTTAGAAATGGTTTGGTGTGACACCTGCAACTACGTATCTCGTAGTCATGCTGGAGATATTAATGTTCAAGTAAAGTCTCTGATAGTATGCGCATAATAATTCGTCTTGTAGTTTGTTTTCAAGTGCATATGGATAAGCAAAATCAATTACAAGCTTTTTAATCTGTTTAAAGGTTAATGTTGTATGCAATGCGTGCCGCCGCACAGTTCATAATGTTACAGTATCCGGATGCGATTATAATGGCATTTAGAATTTAGTATTTAGTTTTCAGAATCGTTTCGCGCCATCGATTAGTGACGCCGCCCCGGGTAAATGCAAGTGAAATTCGAAATTGCGAGAAAGCGATAGATTAAGACAGCTTATGAAAAGTTTGAAGATGTAACAGACGTTTGTCCTTTGAGTACTATGCGGAACTCGATTTTTGGCGTGCAATACTGATCGAGCTTTTTAGGTAAAACAACATGGAAAATAGTGTTTGCATAAACACTTAAATGAAATTGGACTATTGTCAAATTTTCTCTGATCCAAGATATCTTGGATCGATTAAAGTGGCAAAAGCGTCTTTGCCGCTTACCGGTAATTTTTCCGGTTGTTCCCTGTGTTAATCCCCTTTTGCACCCTGTTTTCGTCTTTTTTTGCGGTTGTTTACTATTGTATACGTGTTATAATTCTGCTTTGTTTTCAACATGAACATGGCTGCCTCGCTAAATACCGATGCGGATGGACCTATGGGGTCCTCGTTTGATGAGTCTACTGCAGCTTAGGGACAAGTTAACTGTTCAGATCCTGTAAAAGATTTATCTGGCGGTATACAGTGTTGGGCATGCTGCTGCTAAGATCACGGAAGCTGTACCGGCCTACGAGCTTATTAGTGCGAAATGCCATCATCCAGAGTTCACTTTCTTTTCAGCGGCGCTGAATGCTGCGCTCCATGCTTTGGAATATTGGTAGCTCGGGATGCTTGCTCAGTTGTTGGGGAGTTCTCCGAGCTGAGCAAGTTGCCCAGCTGGGAGAACTCCACAACCACTGCGCTCAATGATCGACGCACCCGGCAATCACCTGGCAGATGTTGAGAAGGTGATAAGCAAACTCGCCTCTATTGCATCGCTCGATGCGAAAATGGCTCTGCTTTTAAAATCTCTGAATATTTTTATTAGTGACACTGCAATAGACGGCAACGTTGTTGACGATCCATCCGCTGGGGTCTGTCATTCGGTCATGAAGTCGCACATCCTACCGGCCAACCTAGGTAGCATAGTTGGCTAACCTCATGAGTCAATCAAAATGAAGAAAAGTAGGGTGCGGAAATATCAAAAGCCCTTTGCTAAACCCAGAGAATTAGTTGCCACGGAATCGAAAAGATGCCGTCTTTGACTGGCTAGCCGAACAACCTCCTCGTGGTGCCAGCTAGGTGGTTCGGGTTTGACCCGTTCCAGCAAATAGTTCGGCGGCAGTGTTCCAGGACGTGGTGGGTTTTCGAGTGGCAAGCGTTCTCCCTATAAAAGCCACAAATGTCTGCTTAACAACACTGTGACGTGGCGGTCGTGACTCGCCACAAAATAAAGTCACTGCCCCGTGGGTATCCGAATAATCCTTTCCAACGCACCGACATCCATCTTATACTTGAGCATTTCCGACGATATGAGAGTGAAAATTAGAGCAGCACATTTACAAACAGGAACCTCACAGTTACACACACACACACACACACACAGCTACATAATTACATACGCCCTACATAAACACACACTGGTACGGCAAACATAACGTATTCTTGCACATTCTTGACCGCGCATTTTTGTCATAATGATCATGCCTGTAAAGGCGTGCCTCGCCTTGTCGAGAATAAAAACTTTATTTATTTATTTATTTAAATTACTTTGAAGGTCGTGCAAGGCAAACCTTACGCAGATGCTGACCACCTCGGCCACCACTGAGCCAGCCCGTTCTGACGAAGTGCTGGTAACTGCTCAATGCGAGACATGGACAACAGCCCCTGCTCAGCGAACCAAAAGCAAAAGCGGACAAGATTTTCCTGTAAAATTCGAAGGGGCTTGAAGACGCAGGAATTTGTAAGAGGCCGGCAACAGAGCGGAAAACCTACTCTACCGTTGCTTCGACGTTGTTTGGGAAGACAGGGGCAGTCTCATCACCAGTCGTGAAAACACCTGTTATAGGTGTCGAATCCAAGGCACGCGGGGTATACACTCCCCTCCGTGCCGACACTTTCATTAATAATATCGTTGTTTTCTGGAACGTTCCTGAACCTACGGTTGCTCCCCTAAGGGAACGCATCTTGGATGATACCAGATGGCTGAAAATGTGTGTCAGCAAGCTGCGTCCACCTGGCTTCCCTGGTACCACTGTCAGCAAGCTGATCAGCTTTGGGACCGTCCTTATCGGTACGGCAAATCCACGACCCAGACTACTTCACCTGGTCCTTTCTACCTCGGAGGAAAGCAAGTCATTACTGCGGTTTGCATGCAAACTTGCGGGTGGTGGTGTCAGCGTTCAGCCGGACCTACCACTGGCAGATAGACTGAAGTTAAAGGAGGCTATCAAAGACCTCAAATCTAGTCGGGCGGCTGGTGAACAAGGCCTCCGTCTGGTGGGTTTTCAGGTGGTCAGCCGGAAGTTACTTTCCGCTCTATCAGAACCCATCCTGATGGCGCACGACCGCGGGATGGTGGTGCCGACTTCCTTGAGGTAGTACTTAGCAACGTGTGTAGTTTAAGCAACAAAGTGAACGAGTTGGGTCCACTTGTGGACAAACCTTGTCCCGACATACGTGCTTTCACTGAAACGTGGTAGTGTCCGGATATCACAGATGATGCGGTATTTTTACCTGGCTACGCGCTGCTTAGAACTGCTCGCTCTGTTGCTCGTCAAGGCTGCGGCGTTGTACTGTGCGTGAGCTGTAACCTAGATGTGCTCAGGACCTGCATATTCTAGTCGTCGGCTCAGACTGTTGAAGACCCATCGGCCGTTTTGTTCACTCCCTTTACCCAGTTTACAGTTGTAAATAAATAAATAAATAAATGGGTACATTTCTAGACCTGCTGGAGTCTGCACCCTAAAGGGTTCAGATCAATGCTTACATTAATCCGATGCTCTTGCATGGAAGTTGGCAAATTAAGTACATGTACATCGTTAGCCATTACAAAAGATTTGGCACTTTTTGGTGTACAGCTACTGGGTCGCTGGCGCCCACCTTGACATTTTTCTGGTTCCTTTGGCCGATATTGAGCTCCTTGTTCTTATATTGTGAAAACTTCGCGGAGGTGTAGTTGTGCCTTTTCTTCTTGGAACAGAATCCAATCCGCCACAAGTTCACTTTAAATTGATCGCACGTTAATTGGCCACTCAGTTGCCCCAATTGTTGTTGCGCACCTGGAAGAAATGAGTGAAGGGATTATAAGGCATACGAAAAGTTAAAAACAATTCCGATAAATGCAGACAAAAATAGAAACAATTTGTTAAGAGAGAAAATAAATCTGCGTGCTTCAGTAGAAAAATACCAAGTAACAAAAAAGTATAGCCCTACTTTTCTTTCGCTGATATTGCTCTCCGGTGCAAAATTTCAACCTGTTATTCTCAGGTAAAAGAAAAAGCCTTTCTACAGTTAAAATACCACTTAAAGTAGCACAAGATTACACTGGTCTGGACCAGCTTTAGAGCCTAAAAACCTTAAATGTAAAAGCAAAACAATACATGCAGTAGTTTGCGCGTTATTGGCAATTAAATGGTTGTCTACGAATAAGGCTGTTTTTATTTTTTTTTGAAATGCCTTTCTGCTTTGCAAGCAGATAGCAGAAAAAAGAAAAAATTATTAAAAGTAGGGAAGCGGCGTATGTTCTAGATAGGCATAGCTATCCAGAAATGCTCTACTTAGCCCTTATTACCCTGCGAAAACTACGGACTGCGCAGGTGGCCGAAAAGCAAACTTTGCAGGCATACATGAAAAATGTATGCAAATAAGGGATGATCTTGCTCGAAAACGCTAGAAATCCAGCAAGGAATATTATACCTACATGGGAATTCAGGGGAGCTTGTAATTAACTCACGGTTAGAAGGCCACAGCATACCATTTTCAGGGGATACTGAGCCACATAAACAACCAGTAAAATAGAGTTTAGAATTTTTTAAGCCTCTAAGCTTTTCTAAAGCTTACAACAAGGCCGCATGAGCCAGGTCTACCTGAGTAACCTAGGGGATCTTTCAGATCCGTTGACAGATTTCGGCCCGCAAAATACACACATTACTTGGCTAAACATCACAAGATTTATCGCTCAGAGCCGATTTTCTATATGCATGAGGCTCCGTCTCTAACATCAGTGAGCTATAGGAGCCTGTCCCAAATAATAAAGAAATAAGCATGGGAAAATTCAGTAAAATTTAGCTAATTGCATTTGGGCGTGAAATCCGTTTTGGTCTACATTGGTTGGGCTTTAACAACTCTACTTCTGGTGGTTGAGCTTGCTCATACTTGAGGTATTGTTATGCCTCATGTGTAGATGCACACTATTGTGCAGCTCTGATGAATTTCGAGTTACTTCTCTCTATTTTTAAGTTCCGAAGATAGCGCCGGTGGTGTTCATCCAGATGGCAATGTTAACTGATCCTCTAATGTCACACCGGCTATTTCTTTTGTGAGTTTCCTGCCAAGAGTTGTTCTCGCACCCTAAGCAAAAAGCGATAAGGTAAAGCAGGAGTAGAATAGTAACAAAAACCAGTTGGAGCTGGTCGTTCTGCCGCCATTACGCATAACGCATGGTAGGCTTTGGAGCCAGCTAAAAGATAAATG